ATCCTGGACTGTGCTGAGACGGACAAATTAACAAAAGAGATAAAAGAAAAGGAAAACACAGAGTATTATATAACATGGAACAAGTGGTATGTCTGGTTGGAGACTAGAAATAATAGAGGAGAATAAATATGGAAAGGTCAAAAGTGAAAATATGTATATAATAATGTATAATAATAATAATATAAATTATTCTTAGTAAGAAGTAGAACATGAAGGAAGAAAAATGTAAATAAGAAATAACGGGGCAATAAGGACAAATATTCTAAAGAAGAATAAGGGGGGAAATTAAATAATAGATTACCGTTATGTAATTGCTGTAAAAAAAAAGGGAGAGGAGAATATATATTGTGTGTGTGTGTGTGTGTGTTATGTTTTGCTTTGTTTTGTTTTATTTTGTTGGTTAAAAATAAAAAAAATTAAAAAATTATAAAAAAACAAAAACAAATATGGAATGTTCAACAATATAGGCTCAGAAACTAGCCTCCATAATCTTGGCAACTTTAAGGTGTGTGGAGTTTAACTCCCAGTGCTGGAGAGTTTACAGATCTATGGACTAAATTTGGAAGCTGAATAATATCTCCTGGAGCAAAACAGTGAATTACTTGTCAATTGTTTCTGAGAAAACAATATATATATGGTTGTTTAGTCACTAGGAACCATTGATGAAGTATCTTGTAAATTGCATGTGTTTAACCTTCCCTTATTCCCTGCTTATCTTATTATTATTTAGATCTTACATCAGTGACTGTAAATCACCCATGCATCTAATGAAATAAGCCACTGTTCACAAAACCTTGCACCTTTTAACAAATTGTGTTAATCTGAAAAGGCATTAGCAAACACTTGCAAATTTTAAACTCAAGGGAGACTTTGTGTTTGCTAGATAAGCACGTGGGGGAAAAAAATATATATTTTCTTACAATCGTTACTGACCACTCCCAGTCCTTGGTGATTCAGATGATCAAACAAATTAAAGCACTAATTATCTAGCAAGATCATGACCCTAACCATTCAAAGCTCTCTGCTGTTGTGCATGTGATGGAATCGTACTGGCCCTCTGGAGAGCACCTTACTGTGCAAAACAACCATGTCAAATCATGCTAGTTCTACCTTGTTAAATTTTAACAGAAAGTTTGGCTGCAGAAAATCAAGGCTGGCTCTTGTAGTGGATCCCCTTAAAAGGAATCGGTCAGCGGCATTATTTTAGACTGCCTTGGGCCATTCCGATTCAAAGTGACTTCCCTGCAGTCGCTTTGAACCAACACAATAATGTTTAGAAATTGCGCTATTAGATTTGCACCCACATTCTGCCCCCAATAGTAGTGTAGATAAAACCAATATAAACAATTTTTCTATTTCATTTGTATGTTACAAATTCTGTAAGGTAGAGAAGTGCAGTTTCCCCAAGCCCAAAACTGTCTACAGCCTCCTCAACAAGTGTGAGTATGACTGAATTCACAAGGCACACACAATTTAAGCAACTATATTTGAGTCTGAGCATGCTTTGTGAATCCAGATGTGGGATCAGAATTTGATTTAAGTGAACACAGAGACACCATCCTTAAATATGTCGGTTTAAGCTGAGAAGCTTTACCCACACATTCAACGCTAGATAACTGGATTAATTCTAGAAAACACAGGTGAGTCATTCTTGGTTAGGATTTCCTACTTGGGCAGGGGGTTGGACTAGATGACCTCCAAGGTCCCTTCCAACTTCATTATTATTATTATTATTATTATTATTATTATTATTATTATTATTATTAAAACAACAGTACAGTATATATTTCTAGGCTTTCCCTGGATATTTCAGTTATTTCATTAAGCCAGGATTTATTTAATTGTGCTTTATTACATGAACCTAGTGAGTCAAAACCAAATAAAGGATAAAATCCAAGTTCTAAATTATTCAGAAATTATTCCTTCAAAAAGCTGGCATGTAAGTAACAATCTGCAATCCACTATCAATAATTTGATTCAGTGCCAGTTCAATCACTGCTTAGCTTACTGAATGCTTTGCTTTCTTGCATTCCAATATTTTATTAGTTTGTCAAAAAATAAAATACAGAAGTAGAAAGAAAAATGAAAATAAGGGGAAAATAAGGGAGGAAAAAGGGAAGAAAAAATGTAAGGGAAAGGGGAAAAGAAAAAAGCATTGACTCCTTTTGATGCAGTAGAATGAAGTAATAACACAAAACTTCAATTTTATACTTTTATATAATATATAGATTAGCCGTTTTTATAACAAACCTATTTAATCAACAAAACCGAACTGAATGCACTGCTGGCGACTGAAGCAAAGCAACTACTTCTAAGATTTCCATTTGCTGTCAACCAGAAAGATATTATTTATTGATAAAAATTTGTTTGCCTCTCATCTCACCACGAGACAACTTTTAATGTTAAGCAGATCCACATTTCTTTTCAATGAAGTTTCAATGTAAAAGTGACCCACTGATCTTGTCCCTAAAAATTATCAGTATATAAGTTTAGACAGCTCCTGATCAGTACTGAAATTTTCCCTAGCAACTCCAGATTACTAGAAATCATTGATAAACATTGTAATGATCTGGAAAGCAACCGTGTCCAAGTGCAAACTGATCACTCTGCAGGCATCCAACATTTTAAGAAGTTCTGATTTTAGTAGCACCTTTTAAGATGAACACGCGTTAATATAAGGCACAAACTTTTCTAAGCCGTCATTCCCTGCATCAGACAGGTGAAAGGGGCCTTGAGTTGATTTAGGAATTAAACACATCAAAGATGAGGCAAGAAAAAAGAGGGGGGGAAATGCAGGGGAAAGTTCCATGGAGAAAATTATAAGTGGCAGTTTATGCTTTTTATATCAATTCACTCATAAGCACCGATTCTAACGGGGCTTCATTGCAAACAAAGATTGAAATCCAATTATTTGGGGTGCAGTTCAGAGATGGAGGCCTATTCATGGGTAAGTATATGCAGGATTGCAGCTTTAAGTTAAGTTAAAATAGTGTATTGTTAATGTCAGCTATCAGCTAGAAATGTACCCGGGAAATGCAGTGTGTTGCTAATGATTGCATCATAAAGAAGCGGAAGGGAAGGTCCCAGCAGCCAGGTCTAGGATGAAAAAAGGCTTCAAGGGAAGATCCAGAATCCGGGGCTTTCCATCTAGGAGTTTCCAAGATTCCGGAGATAGCAAATATCCTGTCAGTCCCCACGTTCGCACTGTTAGCCAGTACAATGTGAGGAGGGGTTGTTCACATGGATTCTAATTTAGCCCAGCAATGCTAATCAGTTCACAAGGGTCTCTCCAGACAGAAGGGGAGGGAGGAAAGAGGGGGAGCAAATTTTCTTCTGGATTTGAATGTCCAGAAAAAAAAAAAGTCGTACATCTCCCTCCCTTCACTTGGTGGATGTTTGCAAATAAGGAAAAATGCCAGCCTTGGGCATTTTTATGCAGGACCAAATTGCACTCTTGAGGCAGGCTTGAGTTAAACTTAATAACAACAGTTAACACCACCACACCGACAGGTTCCTCGGAGCTTGTTGCAGCAGGCCAGGATAGAACGCAAGGAAATGTCACCCCCCCACTTTCCTGGAAAAATCCTTTCCTCTGCCTCTTCGACCTCTGGGTGGGCTGAATCTCATCCACGTGGTGTGGTTTCTTTCTCCAGAAACATCAAAGGAATAGGTCTATGGAGATGCTCAATCATCCAAGTCATGGTGCTTTTTTTTTTCTTTCAAAAAAACAACTGGACTTTTTTCTTTTTCCATTTTTTGTTTTGTTTTGTTTTTGAAAACTTTTCGCTTCTGCTCCAAGAAGCTTCTTCCGGTCTGAAGATCTTTTCAAAGGAAAAAAAAAAAACAAGCCCAGTTGCTTTAAAAAAAAATAATAATAGGAAGAAAAGCATCTTTGGGACATCCTGGGAGTGCGAAAAATTCCTAGGAAGGTCGCTTTTGCTTTACGAGTCACTTGGGAATGCCGTTCGCTAAGGACAGGTTGGGAAACGAATTGGGGAAAAAGTTCCGTCCTTTTTTGCTTTAGAGTCCAGCCCAGGTTGTACATCTCCTCGGGGCCCCCCCTTTCAAACCCCCCACGCGTTACAAGCCTCACACCAACTTGTCTAACTTGCGGGTCGCAGTCCCGTTTTCACTCGTGCCCTCCCGAACCAACCCGCGACGGGAACAGCTCGGTTACTGTGCGAATACGGTACACGGAAACTTCCGACAGGCCAGCCTTGCCAGTTCACCTGTATGCCCAGCAAAAGCCGCCGCGCTTATGGAGGGAGATCCTTGCCCGGACATGTTCCACGGCGAAGCCAGGGGTCTTCCCTGCAGGGTGATCCGCCCCGACCACCATCTCTCCCTACACACACACACACACACACACACACACACACACACACACACACAACCGTCAAGGGCGGAGACGTTCCCGGGCAAGTTTCAGGAGCGCCCCTCCCCCACCCTCCCGTTTTCCTAAGGGCGGGGGCCGCCGCGTCGCCTCCTTCTCCCGGCATCGCCAAACTTCGCTTTGCGGGACGAGGGGCTCGTCCTGGGGAGGGGAAGGGGAAAGGGAAAGGGGAGGAGGAGGAGAGGAGAGGAAAGGAAAGGGGAAGAGAAGGGGAAAGAGGAGGGGAAGGGGAAAGGGGAGGAGGAAGAAAGGGAAGGGGAAAGGGAAAGGGGAGGAGAAGGAGAGGAAAGAGGGAAGGGGAAAGGAAAGGGGAAGGGGAGGAGGAGGAAAGGAAAGGGGAAAGGGAAGGGGAAAGGGAAGGAGAGGAAAGGGAAAGGAAGTGGATCTGGGCGCGCGCTTCCAACTCGCCTGCAGCCCCGCCGTTCCAAGCGCCGGGGAGAGTCGCCGATTGCAGAAAAGGAAACAGAACTTTTCCGCTAGTGTGTGTGTCTCTCTGTGTGTGTGTGTGTCGGGGGGGGGAGGAATAACCACAGGTAGGCTAGTCCGAAGCCCCGCGCGCGTCGGGAGCCAAGGAGCGGCGCCCGGAGGAATTCCGCCTGGCACTCACCAGCAGGTAAGCCAGGCTGCAAAGCGTCAGGAGGCCGGGGGCTCGCATGGTGGTGGTGGTGGTGATGATGATGATGATGATGCGAAGGGAGCCGGGAAGCCGCGGCGACCCGGGGGAAGGTCGGGGTCGGTGTCTCTGTGCTCCCGGGCTGGAGAAACCCCCCTCTCGGAAGGCGAAAGTGGGAAAGGCCGGCTGAGCGGCCGAGGAGCGCGGTCCGAGGCTGCCGGGGCGCGCAAGGCGGTGAGAAAAGCGAGAGCGGAGAAAGTTTCGTCCGGACTCGCGCAGCTGCAGAAGACACGGCGAATAACTTTCTAAGTTAGCGGCGTTGCTTTTAAACCGGCGGCTGCGAGGAGGCGGGGTTAAGGCACATGGCTCCTCCTCCTCCTGCTGGCATGTTTTAGTTGTAGAGCCCAAGTTGCGCGGCCGCCTCCCCCCCCCCCCCTTTATCATCCTTGCTTCTGCAGAGGAGGAATTTTTTTTTTTCCAACCTCCTTCGGGGACTTTCCACATCTGTCCTGCAGCTGAAGCCTCAAAGCCCTTTTGGCTGCCTCCTGGAAGGATAATGCAAGTTAGCTCGAGGGCCATCGCTTCCGGAATTGAACGGGAGGGGCGACAAACCAGGTTAACGCGTGGCTGTTGACTTTGAGGCCCTCCGAGCCTGCTAACTCAGGTAGAGGCGCTTAACAGTCGGCCGCTTTCCCCCCCTCCCCCTTTCTCACCCCCCCTCCGCCTCGCCACAAGCTATCTTTTGGTAAGCCTGGATCGTGGTTTACTCAGATAAGCCCGTCTTGTGAAATGTTGGGTCCTAAACGTTAAGAGGGGTGAGCGGAGCGCGTTTCCCAGACTTCTCTCTAATGGACATTCAGTCAATCCGCGTTAGCAAAATAAGTTGCGGGGGAAGCGAGAGAGAGAAACGTTCTGGGTAAGATAGGAAGATCGATTTGCTTCATTACCCAAACTAGGTAACATCATCAGTGCTCGTAAGGAATGGGATTTGCTGTAGCACTGATAATGTTACCTAGTTTGGCCAATGAAACATCTGCAAGAAAACAACCAAGCTCAGAGAGCACCAAGGACCCCTCGTGTGAACCCTGAGCTACAAATATTCTCCTTTGTTAGAGCATATTGACTGTTGATTATAGGGAGATTTTTCAATTCTTCCAAGACTTTCTAGAATAAGAAGGAAAAAAAAATGGCTTCTCCCCAGCAGTCTGAAAATATAAGTCCTAGAAGGGACAATTTGTTATATTTTTTCTATCTTGCTCTATGGAGTAGAGCGTTGATCTCTGACAGAAGGCCACCTGAAGAGACTAGAAGCATTTGAAATGTGGATTGACAGGTGGCTGTTATGTACAAGCTGGGTTGACAAGATGAGAAATGAGGAGGTGATCAGCCACCTGGGAAAGCCAAGGGAAATCATCAAAACAATTAAAAAATGAAAGCTAGAATATTTCGGACATGTGATGTGATACCCAGAAAAATGCGGCATATTCCATTTAATCCTCCAGGGAAAGATTGAAGGCAAACGAGGTCCAGGCAGGAGAAAAAACATTGTGGCTTAAAAATCTAAAGGACTGGTTTGGACAAAACTCAGCAGCACTTTTTCGTGCGGCTTCTGATAAAAACAGGATCGCCAACATGATCGCCAACGTCCGATAAGGGATATGGCACAAGAAGAATATAATTTTTTTTTTTTGCTTGGCTCGCAAAAAAGGTGCGAGATGTATTGAACACCGATCTGAGTAACTACTGGCTTTTGCATTCTCAGAGGGAATTGATCCTTAGTTGCCCTATTGTGCCAGCAACCCAGGACTTGTATTTTATCCATTAGAGCTTCATTCAATTAAATCCGCTTCTACTTTCTACCCAGGCAAAGTTTGAGTCTTCAGTATGAGTCTTCAATATGAAACTCATTGCCAACTTTTTCTTTCTCACTCAATCTTTAAATGAAACCAAACCTGATCAAAGGTTCCGTATTTTCTTTTTTCCCCAATTTTTTTTTATTAATTTTCCAATATTACATTTACGTATTTGAAAAGTAGTGTGGCGGCTGGGCACAGTTTGAATAACATAAGTGCAAATCTCAAAATATTACAACAACTAATTCCCTCTTTTCCCCTCATAATATCTTCTGTCTCATATTCCGAAAAGTTCCATATTTTCTTTTTTTTTAAAAAATCACAAATTTGTGATAGTTGGGCTACTGTTCATGCCACACCATATTTTCTTTTTTTAAAAAAAATCACAAATTTGTGATAGTTGGGCTACTGTTCATGCCACAGTATCTTGGCTGACATGTGCAGTGCCAAGCTGGAACAATATGTGTAGTGATTACCGCAACATGTCAATAAAGCAATCCATTTTTTAATCCAGCCGCAGACCATGAAACCAAACAAAAATCACAGTTAAGATAGAGAAATGCATAACAATTCTGTACTATTTAAAAAATGTTGTAAGAGATGCTCTGATTTACTCTGCGAGCTATAGAGCCGTACTTGGCTGTGGTGAACAAAATAAAAATCTGATTTTATTTTGTTGACCACAGTCAAATACTGTGGTCAGATAGTAACAATTTAAGAGAGAGTCAGAGTGGAAAGCATGTTTACTGAAGAATGAAGATACTTCCCACTGAGCACCTGCATAGAGGGAACCAAACAAATATGTTCCATTGTTTTCTTCACCACATGGTTATCTGTAGGTATCTCCCTTCAGTAACAGCTGTTGGAAGGGTATTAAATCTAGCCAAGATAAATCTAGTTAACTCCTATCAACCTTGCCCACATAGCAATTTTAGCACAGCATGCTGACCCATGATTTACATAAGCATTGTTTACCGATTTAACTCTATTGATAGGATTCACATAATACCAATCCATGAAACAATTAACTGATTGGGTTTGCCCAACAATCTAGCCATATTTTAGTATCACATACTGCAGGAACCCAGGCTGTGGTTTATTAACTTAGTGCAACCCAGGCAACCCAGTTTGTTAAGACACTCTAATCACCAATTAATCGCACAGGCTGACTTCATATCAGCATGTTCATGTGCAGTGGGCAAGTTTGCAATTGTCTGTGTTGTACAAATGCAGTCAATATTTCTGCTGCTCCATCAGTATTACTGTCAAAATCGAGCAGTTCTGATCACACAAAATGTTATCCAGATCCTCTTTAATTCTACGCTCACCTCTGGATTTTTTTTTTAAATAATGTAGTTCTTCAGGTGCAAACTCTATGACCCATATGCAATGGTTTTGACATACAACATAGGAATAGCACCTAGAGTTATATACCACTTCACAGTGCTTTACAGCCCCCTCTAAGCAGTTTACAGAGTCAGCATAATGCCCCTAATTTTACCAACCTCGGAAGGATGGAAGGCCAAGTCATGGGCTGAGTGCCTATGTCCATATAACTCATTGCACCAGCAGACTATGTTCTTTGTTGTTGTTGTCTGACTGTTTGTGACCCCATGGACTACAGCACGCCAGGCCCCCCTGTCCTCCACGATCTCCCTGACTTTGTCCAAACTCATGTCTGTTGCGTCAATGACACTATCTAACTATCTCTGCTGTCCCCTTCTCCTTTTGCCTTCAATCTTTCCCAGGGCCTTCTCATTTGGTAGCCAAAGTATTTGAGCTTCAGCTTCAGGATCTGTCCTTCCAAAGGACAGTCAGGATTGATTTCTAGCCTCACTTATTATATCATATTAAAATATGTATGTATTGTATTGTAATATATTGTATTGTATTGTATTGTTTATTAAAACCAAAAGCAGAAGCAGAAAAACTCAAATCAGAAAACTACCAGACGAAGCTCTCCTGATTTTCCTCTTACTTTAGTCAATGTTTTTATGAATTACAGCCCTGGAAAAACTCATCGTCACATTGGCTTGTGCACAGGATCTTGCATTTCCTTAAGATAATTCATCCCACAACATTGTTACACCCTAGTCCCAAAGGGGTTAGAAATAAGTGTCATAAAATAAAGCAGTAAATAAATACCGTTCACTAAAACAGTCATGAGCCGTTTATTTTAAAAGACTTGCTAAAAAAAAAAAACCAGCTCATCTACCACTCTTTAAATCAGGGGTAGACCACCTTGTCTCTTTTATGACTCGTGGACTTCAACTCCCAGAATTCCTGAGCCAGCCATGCTGAGGGAAAAGGGAGAGGTTTCCAAGCTGAGCCATGCTGGCTCAGGAATTCTAGGAATTGAAGTCCACGAGTCATGAAGGGGCCAAAGTTTCCCTCATGTTGGCTCAGGAATTCTGGGAGTTGAAGTCTATGAGACATGAAAGAACCAAGGTTGTCCACCCCTGATTTAAAATACTTCACGGGGAAATAAGAGTCACATTGAATGGATTTGGAAGTCTGGAAAGAAATATGGCATGCATGCGCACGCTTCTCAGAATGATGTACACGTAGTCCTTGTCTTACAACAGTTCATTTAGTGACTGTTCAAAGTTAAGACGGCCCTAAAAAAAGGAACTTATGGCCATCTTCCACCCCGATGATCACATCCCCGTGGTCACTTGATCAAAATTCAGACACTGACTGAATTTTGATTGACTGACCCATATTTATTGATGTTTGCTTTGATTGACTGACTCATACTTATGATGCTTGCAGCGTCCTGGGGTGGTGGTGTCCCCTTTTATGACCCCCTGACAAGCAAAGTCAATGGGGAAGCCGGATTCACTTAACAACCGTGTTACTAATTTAACAGCCGCAGTGGTTCACTTAATCAATACGGCGAGAAATGTCATAAAGTGGGGCAAAGCTGACTTAACAACTGTCTCACTTAGCGACAAAAACTTTGGGCTCGGGTGTGGTGCTACGTCGAGGCATTCCCTATATTTTGAGCAAAACCGTTGGGTAGCTTTGAGTAATCTTTTTCCTCTTTATTGTGTGTGTGTGTGTGTGTGTGTCTGTGTGTGTGCTCGGGCTGCCTACGAAAGAGGAAATGGAAGAATGCCCTCGAAATGCTATGAGCAATCAGCTCTAAGAGCGGCCGGAGATGGGGTTGTGGTTGCTTGCTGATTGTGAGTACTCTAAACCCAGAACATATGCCTGGGAGTGAGTAAACTTCGGTCAACGCAAAACAATACCATCATAAAAGTAAGCGTCCATATTCCCAGTATCCTTATCCTGCTTGGCTGTGAATCCCTGCTGAAAATCAAGACCTAATTTATGGCTGTCATTATAGGCATGGTGACTGTTTGGATATAGTGGTTGAGGCACCATGCTGGAAACTAGGAGACTGGGACTTCTAGTCCCACCTTAGTCGTGAATGCCCGCTGGATGACTTTGGGCCAATC